TTTTTTTTTTTTTTAAACAAAGGTGGCCAGTACCTTGATGGAGAAAGAGCAAGCTGCTCAACATGACGGAACAGTGGACACCCACTGGCGGGAGTAAGCCTGGGCAAAGATGATCACCGTCATCAGTCCCCAAACACGCAACTTCACACAAAGAAACGCCAGCACGCACTCCCCAGAATGGCGAAATTCCAAAGACAGGCGATTCCGACACTGGCGCATCTGAGGGGCCACTGCAGCCGTGCCAGCGGGAGTCACAAGTGCCCACGTGCACAGTGTGGGCCATGACAGAACGGGCTAGGAAGGACTCTGCTGAGAGGCTGTCCCATGTAAACAGTTACATGGGACAAACGAGGCGAGAGTATGAAGCAATCATCGGCATTCCAACAGACTGCTTTAAGTAGACTGCAAAGATATACGCCATTATGAAAGCCTAAAGTCATAAAGGACAGCCACGATACACTCTGGATTTAAAGTGTTCCTTAGCCAAGTTTCAAGGAAACTAATTCAGAACAAATCAAAGAATTCAGTGAACTAGCAGCCCACGTCTGAAAAATCATAACCCAGAAGATGTTATAGTGGGGCCCGCGCAAAAATGTAGTTTGTGAGCAAAAATCTTGAGTTTATCGAACGAGTAACAGAAAACACGCGATGCCAGGCGCTGTCTAATGTAGGTTAACCCCCTCACGGCAACCCTGTGCGGGAGGTGCAAATTCCTGTCGTTCGGATGAAGGGTCTGAGGCCATCGATGTCACTTGTCCAAGATCACACTAGGGAGGAGTGGGACCGGGCGTCTCAGCCAGCGCGTCCTCTGCTCTATATTGCCTCTCCGAGGGAACACGGGTTACTCATTCATCCTAGTCTTTCGACATGAGAGCATGCCACGAGGCCAACTAACAAACTCTCTGAGGCAGAATACTGGCTCATTTCCACATGGAGCTTCTCAGACACAAACTGGGTTTGGGGGAATCATGCCAACAGTTCTTGCACTCTGCTTTGACTGGAGAAATGGGAACCCAGGTTCCCGACCAGGACTTGCAAATGCGATGACCAGCAACGAAGAGGCGCAGCTTCGCCTCAAAGGTGTGCACGTGAAACTTTGTTCGTCAGTGACAGAATGTGGCACGAAGGGGTGAAGTTTTCTCCAGCTGCCAGCACACTCTGATGTAATCCCATCTACCAACTTGGGGAAGGAGGGCAAAGGACAGCAGACCTGAACGCCAAACAAATGCTGAGCAAGCCCCCTTAAAAGCCCTCAGCTCCGTCTCACGTGTACAGAGAGGTCAGCTTCCAGAAACACTGGCTCCCAGTGCCAAGACTCCCAGCACTCTCCACCGCACTTTCAAATCACCTGTCCTAGAAGAATCAGGACCTGAGCACCCTTCAATCCCAGCTTGTGGGCATGCCTAACAGTTCAGGGCGGTCCAGACTGAGGAGCCTGAGCACCTCAGCAAACTAAGTGGGGGAGAACAAGAAAGGAGGGTCCCCCCTCACTCCAGAACCGCAGGCAGTAAGAAGGCCAGATCAGCAGTGACTCCCCATGATTTACAATCCAGGCATCTTCTTTCTGAGTCATTCACACAACTAACGGAAGCTGGTCTGTGGGACACACACTCCTTTGAGTGCAATTCCTGTAAAAGACTTATGATGAAGAATAAAACGGTAAGAGTCACTAAGCAGTGGTCTTCTGCCTAGGAAAAAAGCAGAATGTCAGTAGGTGGCTGAGAAGTCCTACAGGTGTTTGAGAGAAGTGAGGGGGTAAAGTCCCGGTTGAAACACCTTTCTTCTCCCTCTGCCTAATCCTAACTAAATTTAAGCATGCCCGCTGACGGGAGGAGCCCACACCTGGACCCAAATTCTGAGGCAGCCAGGCACACTGAATGGGGCCTGTTACAGATCCTCAGATCCACTTGGGAGAAACAGCAGTTTGCCCTAGTACTTCATAAAGACCCAGGGAGCCCGGAAAGACACAATGATAACTGATCCCGTGCATGGCGCCACACACAGCAAAGGTAGGGGACTTCTTGCCCCTTCCTTCTCAGCCCCTGCCCAGCCCACCCCCAGCATGCACTGCTTTCTGACAGTAGACACACAAACAGCCATGAGCCCTGGTGCTTGCAGCCCCAGCAGGAGCCTCGGCATCTCAACAGCTATGGTGAACACGAAAGGGGGGTCCCGCCTCCCAGGGCACTCCCAGCACTCCAAAATTGCAGACAGTGAGAAGGCCAGAATGAGCAATTATTATTCCCCGTGATTTACAATCCAGGGGCTGAACCTGCTGAAAAGCTAGAGCAGAGTCCCGGCCGAGAAAACCCAACCTGGGAAGCGAGGAGGGACCCTCACCAAAGTCACGGTGGCATCTGTTGCTTACGGTGAAGCCCCTTCCTACCAACGCACTGAGAGGGTCCCGTACACTCCCACCTACAACGAGGACGGGAAAGCGAATAGGTGGCTAAAGGCACAGAGGCTGGCGGCGGGGCCGCCCCGAGAGGCTGAGGCTTGAGCTGGGGCGGTGGGAGCCCAACTGAGTTAGCACCCCTCCCCCGACGGGGTAGCCGGGGAGCCCGAGTCTCACCCCGCTCTCTTCCAACCCGGGCCCTTGCAGCTCAAGGTTGGGGGCTTCTCGAGGGTCCCGCCACCGTCCCCACCAAGCTCAAGTAAGAGCCCAGGGGTCATACGGCGGGAAGTGGGGTCCCGTGGGCGCCGCCGAGCCCTGGGGGCACAGGCTAGGTAATGTGGTCAAAGAGGGGTCACCAGGGGAGGGGCCAGGCGCCGAGGACCTAGGAAGGGGCGGGTCTCGCAAGGGGACAAGAAGTCTGGGCTCCCGTTTCGGAGACTCGGGATCCCCAGCTGACCCCCAGCCTCGCTCCTAGTGTCCCCTCCAGCCGGGGTCCCCACCACCGCGGCGGGGCAGTCCCACTCCCCATACCTGGTTCGGCTGCTCTGCCTGCTCCGAGGACGCCATCTTCCTGAGGCCTGACTAATCGATCGCCGCTGGGCGAGGCTTCTCCCAAGCGCTCCCGCTCTCGCTCTCCCGTCCAGACTAACGTAATCGAACTGAGCCGGTCGATGGGAGTCTCAGGGCCGACAGAGGAATCCCGGTGTCCTGGTCACTTGGCAGCATTTCCATGAGGTCACTGCTTCCCAGGAAGAGCTGAAGTTTGTCCTGATGTGTCTTATTCTTATTGAAATCAATCTCCGCCTATCCGCACAGTGTCGAATAAATGAATAAATGAGGAGAATCTTAGAAATTCATGGTTCGGTTCAGCACTATTTGTCTTTTTGCCAGACACTTCACTAGGCAAGTAGAAATACAAAGACCCAAGTCCAGGCCACAACACACGCACACACACACACCGCAGCATCACGGGCATGAGTCTAACTAACAACGGTGAAAGCTTTATTGGGAAAACACTGAAGGGGCTTTGGGGGAGGAAGAGCTTCTATGAACCACAGAAGCAGCTGCGATTTTTAAGCTAATTGCGAAATTACCCGAAAGACCTGCATAGGTTAGAACTACCTGTCGGTTCATATTGTATGTGTTTTGATCAATTATGGCGTATTCAAATACTGTTTTAAATGCTTACTTACCCTTTTAAAAATGAGATCATGTCCGATTTGTCTTTCCAAACAAAATATGAAAGGTACTGACTGAATATGAACGTATACCTTTTCTAATGTACCATGTCCCCTTTTAAACTTTTTTATTTTTTATTATTTTAATCTTAAATGTTCTTTTATCAGTGAGGGCAGAGGCAGTCTTTCCAAAAGACCACTTTGAGAAAAGGGATGAATGATAGCATGTGGCCAGTCTCAAACAGATATGTAGTTTGTCTTTCTCTTCTCTCCGATTTCTTTAAGGCCTTAAATTTAATCTATTTATTAAACATTTTGTTACGAAGTCTCCGGCCAATTGCACACCTGCAGCAGGGAATGGAATGGATAGAATTATGCAAGTATCTTATCTTCTTTGCTACATTTCCATCAAGACTGATAACTACATTCATCAATTTTTTTAAATTGCCTTTCTTCAGGCCTGGGATACCTTACTTGGAAAGGGAAAATCAACTCAAAACAGTAACAATTATACTTTAGTGTGAATATTATGCATCTATCTATGCAAAAAAAAAAAAAGAGTGTTCTGACACTTCAAGAGAGTAGGCATGTACTTCCTAGAGTAAAATAAATCTACACTGACCGACCTTCTTTGGAACGCGAGATTGCCACTCCTAAACATAAGCTAGAAAACAACTCCTGGCGGAACTGCGCGTTGTGCCAGCTTTAGACCCAGAGACTACAACTCCCGGCATGCCCCCAGCACCACATCGGATAGCGGCACCTGGAACTACACATCCCAGAATGCCTTGGTACCACGCGTGATTCGCCACGGAGAGAACTACGTCTCCCAGCATGCCGCGCGTGAAGGTGGACCGCCCGCACAGAGACCAGTTTCCGGAGTCATCCGTCCCACCTTGAAGAGAATGGAGATGGCGGGGGACGCCGGGGACTCGGAACCCGACGAGATCCGGGCTCTGAAGCCGTGTCTGCTGCTCCGCAACCGCAGCCGCGAACAGCACGGCGTGGCCGCGTCCTGTCTCGAGGAGCTGAGGAACAAGGGTTGGCACGGACTCGGGGCCGGGAGCCGGGAGGTCGGGTCAGGAGTCGCCACTCGGGGGTTCTTGAAGCGCGGGTGGAGCCGGGAGCGTAGCGACTGACGAGTTCCAAAGCGTGCACAGGCGCCTTCCCTTGATTTGTCTTGGTGGAACTCACCGTGGTGGAAAGGCAGCGGGAAGCGGTGTCGGACAGACTCACCTTGGGTGCCTGGGCTCAGGCCAGTCAGTTTTTAAAGCATACTCGGCCAGTGAGTTCCCGCCGCTCGGGGGGTACCACATCTCCCACCCTGCCTTGCCGGGGTGTCGGGACTTTTCAAATGATATATTTAAATGACTTGCAAATGTTAGTAACCTGTGCAGTCACTTGGTTACCCAAAGGGATTCAGCGGGGTAAGGTGGGTGCCTGTGCCAGGCACGGCCCCCAGTGTGTTGGGCCCCCAGGGCTTGCTCTGTCGTCAGTGCCCCACAAACCTCAGGCAGAGCCTCCCAGAGACTCCCAGGCAGAAGCTCTGTATGTACCTACATGGCATCCCTTTTGCCACATAAATATTTACATCACTTTCTTGGCTGTGGGGCACTTAATTTTAGTGCCCACTCAGCACCTGGCCAGATGCCCCAGCACAGTGACACGTGTAAGTGCTTGTGTTCTCAGGAGCTCAGCCTTCACGGGGTTGCTGTAGACAAGATTGCCCGCCAGAATCAGCAGCCTCTTAGCTACTCTTACGCTAGTCCTGCTAGCACCTTAGGGTCGTCATCACGGACAGGCGGTGCCCACCTGCACTGGCGAAAGCCTCTTCTCAGTGATGCTAAAAATAAAATGCTACTGATGCAAACTTCTGCTTCTCTTATACTTACCTGCAGATTAGAAAGACTGCAGAGGAAGACACTGCAACAAACAAAGAGCATTTCCTTGTCCTTTTTGACATTTGACAGTTTAAGATGCTCACTGAATAAGTGATGAGGTGGAATCAACTCGGGCTTGGTTGTGTTCATTAAAGTAAACACTTGAGCGTTCCCTGAGGTGGGTGTGGGGTAGTTGTGGGGGACACATCTCCAGCACCAGACTGGGTTTCACTCTCAACTCTCACTTGCTGGGTAACCCTCAAAAGATTGCCTGTCTTCACTGAGCCACAGCTTAGACATCTGTAAGAACAGAATAATAATCGTACCTGCCTTCAAGGCTTGTTGTGAGATGAAGTCCTGTATGTGAAGAGCACAAAGTGCATTAGCACTAACAGTCATGGTTATTGTGGTTGCTACCTACCAGGAATTCTTCCTCAGCTCTAAGGACATACCGAGAACTCAAGGACTGATGTGATTTTTCCTATGGATACTTGTCAATTACTAAATATTTTATTCCTCTTAGCCTGTGACATTCTGGCCATTGACAAGTCCCTGGCACCAGTCACCCTGGTTCTGGCAGAGGATGGCACCATAGTGGACGATGATGATTACTTCCTGTGTCTGCCTTCCAATACTAAGTTTGTAGCGTTGGTTGGTAACGAGAAGTGGGCGTACAACAATTCAGGTAAGAAACACTGGCTATACAGGAAATGACATGTGCAGCGTGAGATCCAATGCACCAAACACCTGACCCGTATTACCAGCTAGGCACCAGTTGCCGTCTCTCTGGCTGTTTAGTAACAAATATTTACTTGGCACCTTCGCTATGCCAAGCATGGTGCCGAGTTTAGGGGTGAAGGTGAATGAGACATGGGCTCAGTTCTCAGATAACTCAGACAACTAAACTGCAGCAAGGGGCCCTGGTGGCACAGGGCCTAACGTGCAGCACTACGAAGCTCTCCACAGCCATTGCAGCATCCCCAGCCAGGGAGTGACCCCTGCAGCAGGGAGGCGCAGCAGACCTCTCCTGTGTCCCTGCTGCCCCCCCCAGCAGTGGGGATGTCAGTACATCTGCCTGTCCTGCTCCCCACTCTGTCTCTGGGGAGCCCTCTCACCCCTGCACCTCTGGCCTGTGCCTCAGTTCTTGTGTGCATGAATACACAGATTTTTTTTTAAATAAATAAATAATGAACTGCAGCACGGCAGAGAGATCAGTGCCGCAGGTGGAGGCGGCTGCCTGGTCTGAATGCTCGCTCTGCCATCGACCAGCCAGACTAACTCCTTAGTCACTGAGAATAAGACAGCACCCAGCTCTGGATACTGTCTGCATTGACTGATAATTCTTCCTCATGAGGAGTCAGGGTCAGGACTGTCCCATCCATTGCAGAATTTTTTTTTTAATTTATTTATTTATACAGAACTGGGGTACAGGCCAGAGAAGCGGAGGGTGAGAGGATTCACCAGGGACAGAGTGGGGAGCAGAACAGGCAGATCGACGAAGTACACTGCTGAGGGGAGCAGCGGGCTGGTCAGGAGAGGTCTGCCGCGCCATGTGGTCACCTCCGGGGCAGGCGGGGATCGAACTCATGCGGAAGCGGCTTTAGCTTCTCAGTGCTGTGCTTTAACCCGCTGCGCCACCAGGGAGGGCCCCATAGCAGAATATTTAACGGCATCCCTGATCAACCAAACACGCCTTCATGCATCATCACATGTTCCCTGGGGGCAAAATCTCTCCCGGTTGAGACCCACTGGCAGGAAGCTTTTAGGTCTTGCCCGGCCTGCGCAGGACGTGCTGCCTATCAACGTCATCTCTGTGGCGCTGTGAAGGGAAGCGACCTTTTGAGTGCGAGAGCTACAGAAGCAGGGAAAGCACCCTCAGCAGTGGCCCTCTGCTAGCCACCTGTGTGTGGGGTCCCAGGGAGCGCCAGCTCCACTTGAGGGGGTGATCAATCCCCAGCAGGAGAGGTGCTACAAAAGGGAATTTTTTTTTTTTTAAGATTTATTTATTATGCACACAGAACTGGGGTATAGGCCAGAGGTGTAGGGGCGGTGGGAGGATTCCCCAGAGACAGGGTCTGGAGCAGAACAGGCAGATGTACTGAAACACACTGCTGAGGGAGCAGCGGGGAGACAGGAGAGGTCTGCCGACCCTGTGGGTCACTCCCTGGCCGGGGATCGAACTCATGCTGAAGTGGCTGCGGCCAGCTTCGTAATATTGTGCTTCCATCCATTGTGCCACCAGGGAGATCCCAAGAGAGGTACTGTTTTGTATGCAAAAACGGAAGACAGCAAATACACAAAAACCAGCCTTAAAGCAACCTTTCACTTGGAAATAAAAATGGGACAATTATGTCCTAAATGGGGATTGACTTTTCCATGAACCCTTGAGAAAAAGGTGCTTCCTTCACCACTGGAAAGATGCTAAGTGGGCAGCTGGAAGGATATACAGACATCCACAGGGGCAGAGTATGTTGCTGGGGGATGGGGGGCCACTGCTTCAGGGTAACCTGACAGGTGCATTCTCCCCATGCATCAGATGGAGGGACAGCTTGGATTTCCCAAGAGTCCTTTGATGCGGATGAGACAGACAGTGCAGCAGGGTTAAAGTGGAAGAATGTGGCCAGGCAGCTGAAAGAAGACCTCTCCAACATCATCCTCCTGTCAGAGGAGGACCTCCAGGTAGGCCTCCCCTGAACCCCCAGCCTCGCTCCTCTGGCGCCGGCCACCCCTGCCCTGCTTACTCCCGTGCCTCTTGTCACCAAGACCTCATGGCTTTAATTGGTCATAATTCTTAGGCGACAGCCAAGACTCTCCATTGCACAGTTCCCGCCCCAAAGTCAGAATTTTCCAGTCCTCTCCCTGCGTCAGTCACAAGGCTCTTTCCTCAAAACGCAGACGTGCTCGTGCCCAGTGGGGGTTGAGCATGTGCCGCCCGAGACGTGGCTGTGTGCCGGACGCCGGAGCCCTGTGACTTACTCTGTGCTCGCAGCTCTTCTCCAGTAAAGCTGGGCTAGATCCAGGTGTGTTAAGCCGTAAATACTTACTGAGCACCGCCCTGTCGGGCACAGCTCCGTGCGCCGAGGAGCAAGCCAGACACAGCCCCTACTTTAACACACACGCCTTCCTGTGGCGGGAGGCTGGGAGACAAGAAGCCCGACCGGCAGGGCGAGGCCGCGAGTACCCTGAGTAAGCGCTGTGGCTCCAGTCACGTGGCCCCGCGTCCACGCGGGGTACAGTGCGTGCGGCAGCCGGGCGGCGGGCCCAGTGCCCGGCAGTGATGAGCAACAGAGAAGCTGGCATATCTGAACACTGCGGCACCACCCGGCCGCTGCTGCGTCGTGAGAATACCGTGCTGAGAGAAGCCAGACGCGAAAGGCCACGTGCTTTCTGGCTGCGTTTATGTGAAAAGGCCAGAATGTGCACACGTGTAGGGCAGAGTAGGTTAGTGGTCACTAGGGCTGGGGAGTGGGGACCCAGCGAGCAGGAAGTAACTGTTCGTGGGCTGGGCGTCTGGAGCAGGTGGTGAGGGCTGGGGACTAGACTGAAGCCCACTGAGGTACGCTTTCTGGGGTGTATCATGTGGTGCACGAACTGTAGCTCAGCAAAGCCGAACACAGGGAGGGCGCACAGGAACACGCTCCCTTCCTGAAGACAACCCGTCGTGCGCTCCCAGCCCGGAGAGATTTTTATGCAAACATTGTCCCCTCCTCCCCCTTAGGCCACAAATGAGCGTATATTACCTCTTTTCTTAAATACAGTTTTTCTTTTAATTTATGTTTGGCACACAAGAACTGGAGTGCAGGTGCGGGGGTGAGAAGATTCCCCAGAGACAGTGGGAGCAGAGCAGCAGACTGACCAAAACACACTGCTGAGGGAGCAGCGAGTCTATACATGGCGTCTGGTTTCTTTTTCTCCACTGAGCAGTAGCCTGGTTCAGCGATGTCCCGTGATTAGATACCAAATCCCCACTCTGGTCAGCGATGCGTGGTGGTCAGTCTCGCTCTTCCAGACCGTGCCACAGCACCCTGGCTCCGGTGTCGCTGTGCGCCAGTGCTTGTGGGCAGAATAAAGTTTGCAGAAGCATGGTTGGCAGACATTGCTAGGCACCCAAGAAGTGACCGTTAAACTCAGAGCTAAAGGAGAAAATAGCCTATCGGGGGTAGAATGGACCAGAATAGTCCATTTAGGGACAAGAGTAAGTTTCTTTAAGAAACAAAGAAATGGGCCTCCCTAGTGGCGCAGGGGTTGAGTCTCAGTCAGCACTGTGAAGCTGTCTGCAGCCTGAGTTCCATCCCCAGCCAGGGGTGACCCCCAGGGCGCAGCAGACCTCTCCTGTCTCCCCGCTGCTCCCCTCAGCATGTGTTTCAGTCATTCTGCCTGTTCTGCTCCCCCCTGTACCTCTGGCCTGCACCCCAGTTCTGGTATGCATAAATAAATTTTAAAAGATCATTCTGCTTCATTGTATAAACCATCATGCACCTCCTTTATATCTGCACAAGTGGGTTTTTTAATGAAGCGTGAAAGCATCTATTGCCTAATTTTTCAACAGAAAAATGCACAAACCCCAGCCTGTCTGGGCCTCAGCCTGATCAGCTACTCCAGGTAACCGGGAGTAGGTCGGCAGCTCTCTGGGGACGCTCCTATGCTCCCCACAAGCTGAAAGACCCCAGGATGTCTCACCACCCGCACTTGTTTGCTAGGTCCTCATCGATGTCCCATGCTCCGAGCTGGCCCTGGAGCTGTGCCAGAGCTGTGCCACTGTCCAGGGGCTGCAGGGCACCCTCCAGCAGGTGCTGGACCAGAGGGAGGAAGCCCGCCAGTCCAAGCAGCTCCTGGAGCTCTACCTGCAGGCTTTGCAGAAGGAGGGCGCCATCCTGGCCAAGCATCAAGGTAGGCCTGGGGGTTGGGGAGCTCCAGCGAGAACTCGGGGCCACAGAGCCCTTCCTGGAGAGAGCACCCGCCGGTATGACGATGGCCGGCCCCCCGGAAGGGCTTCCTGTCCGGCCGGCTGTGCTCTGGCCCGCTGCGCCTGCAGCGGCTGTGTCTTTGCCTGCGTGCTGAGCCCCCACATCTGCTTTGCAGAGTCCAAAGCCGGCTTCAGCGAGGGGATGGACACGATCGATGTGGGCGTGAGCAGGGAAAGCTCGGGAACCGCGCTCGGAAGCCAGATCCTCACTGCACTGAAGGAGAAGCCTGCCCCAGAGCTGAGCTTGTCTAGCCAGGACCTGGAGGTGGGCGAGGACCGGGGCCCTGAGCTGGCGCAGCGGCTTCCCCTGGAGGCGTAGGCAGTCCCAGGCGGGCGGGTTCTTCGCCTGCACTCCCTGAGGCCACGCTGCCCGCTGGCCTGCTTCGTGCCGGCACACTCGCACACAGCTCAGTGAACCTGAACTGTGACAGGTGGGCGTCCTCCCTCAGACCTGCCAGACTTTCTCCCTCCCGAGTGGAGGATGAAGCGACTCAGCCTGACGGGGTGGCAGGGCTGGGGCCTGTGCGGCGGCCTCCTGCCAGAAGTGTAGGAGAAGGGGCCTAGTGGGCGACACGTGGCTATGATGGGAGACACATGGCTATGATGGGGAGAACCCCACACGCTTGCGGGGTCACCTCATGCGGGCTCAACCCGGGCCCAGAAGCTGCCGCCTCACTCCTGGCCCTGGCCCTGGCCCTGTGCGTCTGCTCCCTGGTGTCACGGGAGGGCAGGGAGCTTGGTGGAATTTCCTGAGTGGAGAACTTCACGGTTGCCCCACGTAAACGTCTTTCCACAGATGCTCCCCTGTTAGTGGTGAGTGGTAAGGACAGGCCGTGACAGTTTATTACGGGAGGGGCCCGGCGCCTCTGCATAAAGACAAGCACTTCCTGGCGCGGCCGAGCGTCGCTCCCCTCAAGAAAACCAGGCGGCCGCAGGCGCGGAGAGCAGAGGTAGCCTTCTCAGTGCTTCTTGTTCTTGCCACAGTTGGTTGCCAAGGAGGACCCCGAAGCATTGGCCGCCGCTTTGAACTGGGACATACAGAAGACAGAAGCTGCCCAACAGGCCTGTAGTCAGGAACTTGCCCTGCGCCTCCAGCAGATACAGAGCTTGCGCTCTCTCAGGAGCGTGTCGGCCAGGAAGAGTTCCCTGCCTGGAGACCTGCAAAGCCCCAAACGGGCCAGACAAGACCCCACCTAGCCCACAGCGGCCAGAGGCACCCTCGACTTTGTTCTTTGTTTTCAGGAAATCCCAGTGGCCTGGCAGTGTTTGCTGCTTGCACGCTCCTCCCCCGGCCGCAGCCCCTTCCGGAAGGCTGGCTCATGCCCCCAACAGCAAGTCCGGACCCAGCGGATGGCTCCTGACTCGCCTGCGTGACACCGCGCAGCGGCGACGCCCCGCTCTCCTGTGCCTGCGTCCCCCCCTTGTGAGCACTGGTGAGGGCAGAGAAGGGCAGTCGCCCTGTTGTGCCCTCCGGATCCGGCTCTGAGCACAGGACCGCGAGACAGTGCGGGGCGGCGTGGGCATGGCGCAGCCGCGTCCCAGGGAGTGTTTGTGTGTGTTTAAGGGGCACGTTAAGCTCGCAGCCACAGGTACATCCGGAGGGTCTGATCCACCATTTCCAACACCGCCTCGGTGCTGTGAGGCTGCACGTTACCACTGTGAAACTCCAGCCCTCCAGCCTTCCAGCGCTTTGCGGCCGGGGTCTACTGGTCATTAAACTGATTTCCATGAGACTTCGGCTTCATGACCCATCTGTTTGCCGCAAACATGTTCTGGTTTTGGCTGCAGTTCAGTCTCCTGTTGTCCGCCCCGTCAGCTGACCTAACGTGTCCTGGAGGAAGGAAACGCCAGTAAGGACACGGGGACTGGTCGTGAAGTAAGGACACTCACGACCTGGGCGCGGGCAGGGCAGGCGCGTCCTTCCCGTCCTCAAGGGCTGGGGTCGCCCCAGCCTCATTCCTCAAGAGCCTTCTGCTGTCGGGTTCTCTCGAGGAGGCCCTGCCCTTCCTTCTCCAGGCATCTCCGGGCTCTCCCTGCTCATCCTGGGGGCCGGGGCTGGCGCACATCCTCCAGGGCACCGGCACGTCCCCTCCGCGGCGGGACGCTCGCCCCGTCAGACCGCCAGCTCTGGGGCGTGAGCGGCCTTTCGTTGGTAAGGTTATGATTTGCTGGGTTTGTTTAAAGCCTCTGCACAATGCCCTACATGTAATATTTAAGAAAAAATAAAAGGGTGTGGGGTCACTGGGCACTGAGCCACGCCAGGTGCTCGCACTCCTGGGAACTTGCTGTGGCTGCCAGGTCGGCGTGGGCGTGTCAGAGGCCGGACCTCGAAGACCGCCAGTAGCGTTGCTCTTCATAAAGGGTTTTTCCAAACGGTGAAGCTCTGGGCTTTAAGATAATATCACTATCCATCACAAGGTAGCTACGTTCTCAAAATGTCCAGAGAACACTGAATCCAGAAAAAAATACGCTGAGTCTAAAACAACTGGACCCCAGGCGGATGGCGGACAGGCCCCACCCGCGTGCCAGCTGCCGTTGAGACGTTCCCAGGGCCGGGAGGTGGCCCCTCGCTGGGCGCCGGGTGCCAGGACGCCCTGCAGACCCGAGCTGACTAAATGCTCCCACACGTGAGAGGCCCGGGGCCCTGGCGCCAGAGCAGTTCGCTAGCAGTCGCAGCTCCGCACGGAGCCTCCCAGGCGGCGAGGCGGCAGCTGTGGTCATCTGGCTGCGTGGCTGAGCTGAGCCCGGCGGGGAGCAGGCGGCTCACACGCCGGCCTCCAGTCTCCATCCAGCGTGCCCCACTCGTTTTCTCAGGCCCACCCCCTGCTCCCCCCAGATCACTGGGTTCGCTAAGCCCGTGCAGGGAGTCGGAGTCGACTCCAGCACCAGCGCCTGCTATGTGGACGGCAGTTGCCCAGCCAGTCCCACCTGGGGTGGGCGCCTTCCCGTCCGAGCCTAGAAGGCGCAGAGGTGTGTCCGCAAGTAGCCGCGGGCACCCGCACACACAGCGGTCAGGGCGCCAGTGCAGGCAGCCGCTCGCCTCCCCTTGCAGGTGTCTGCCCTTGAACCGGGGGCTGCACCCCAAACACCTCCTGTTACTTCTGGCTGCACGGCAGGCGTCAGGTGGCCGGCCTGGGTCTGCTCTTCACGCGCACGATCCCACCACCCCTCAGCCGCTTAGGGACGGAAAGAGTGGGTCTCGGAGAGATACACCCCAGCTGGGGCTAACTTTTGGGGACCTTAGTGTCTGCAAGTGCAAGGTCATCCTGAGGCTGCACAGTTGAACATAAGGTCTGGCCTGGGGCAGAGCCTGCACTCTGCAGGCTTGGGGGGGGGGCGGGGGGGACTCCCCAGGGGTCGACAGGGATGGTGGCAAGGGCAAAGGCAGGTGCATCTTCAAGAAACGCTAGGGGTGTAGCCGGCAAAGACGGTTGAAAACTCCCCAGGGCGTGGGTGCAAACATGTGTTGACCCTGCCCCTGCCTCTAGGCCTTCTAGAATAGCTGCACAGAGCTGTGTCTAAAAATAGAGCAGGCGGGCATGCCTGTTCCTGGGGCAGGAGAAAGGAATGTCGGAGAAAGCAGCTGGGTCTAAGGCGCGCTGCACTGGCGCCTTCCGACCTCTCCAGTCAAACGTTCCCACTAGGCAACTGCCTTTGACAGGAGCTGTGCTAATTACCGCTTACCAAGCTCTAATTTCTGGGTAAAAGCAAAAGGAAAAAACGAATGGATTTTTCATTTTCCAGAGAGAAAAGGATAAAATAATAGTAGTCTGCAAGACAAAAAAGCGTTAATTGTAAAAATTATTAATGTAACTTTGCTAACCAAATTGTTTAGCTATTTAATTTCCTAATTATCCAATTTTTTTTTCTTTTTTTGCTTCATGGTATTTCTCCATTGGGTGTTATTTGTAGTTTTGCCTCAGTGGAACAGCACAGGGGGGGTTCCAGGGTCCTGGCAGCGATGTATCTGAGCAGCCTCGGCGGCCTGCAGGGACCTGGCAGCGAGGCCTCCTTCCTGCTGGGCGCCAGCACTCGGGTCAGAGAACCAGGAGGTGGACGCTGCTCGGAGTCAACCAGACACCTCAGTCCCGAGGAAGTGGGCCACCGGGTTCAGGCAGGTTCCAGACTTTCCAATGCCGTGTTAGAAGAACTACCGCCACGGAGTCTAGCTCTCTTCCAGCTTAGAGCGGCTTTAACAAGACAAACAGGAATTTTTTGTCACAACCTCAGTTATAAATGCAAAGGGGGTCAGGTCGACTGGGGCAACGAGAAGCTGGACACCGGGCACTGCCCACCGCCCTCTGCCTCTTCCTCCCGCAGCTACAAACAGATTTCCTTTCTTGTAACAACACCCAAATGGCTTTTCTCTGCTGGGGTGTCCAGACAGGACCCGCGTCTGTGGAGAAGCTACCGTTACTAGCCGTGTGGCGCCATCAGCAGGCGGTGTGGGCACCCAGAGTTCACTGGCCTCAGTGTCCTGAGGCCTGGGGTGGCTGGTTCTCCCAAACGTTCCTGCTCAGTCCCCTCACGCTGGACATGGCCCACACGCTGGACATGGCTGACTGTTAAGTGCCCCCCCCATCCCAGTGGTGGGAAGCGACCCCGTCAGTCAGTCGTGAGCATGTTAATCTAGTCCAGTGTGCAACTGGCGTCGGGTGACGCTTTCTCGGGACCCCTAAGCTGCTCGGTGGGCTGGGGCTCCGTGGCCTTGGTAGTTTGCCTGGAATGGCCTCCTTACCATTCAGCTATTGCTTAGTTAGAGGGCAGAACTTCCAGGGCCTCCCAGCCACTAAGGTGTCAGCGCTATCAAGCTGCCGTAGCCCCTGCAGCCTGAGTTCCGTCCCCTGCCAGGGCGCGACCCCCAGGGTGCAGCAGACCTCTCCTGTCTCCCCGCTGCTCCCCTCAGCAGTGGCTTTCAGCCAGTTCACCTGTTCTGCTCCCCACTCTCTCTGGTGAATCCGCTCATCCCCTGCACCTCTAGCCTGCACCCACTGAAACTGAAACACATGAACATACTTTTCTAGAAAAATCTTAGAAGACAAGTTCTGGAGGCTAGCTGCCCTTTCCGGCAGGCATCTTCCTCCAGTGCTCTGACCCAGTTACTGGTCTCTCAGCTGCTGTGTTTGGAAATGGGGCTGCTTATTAAGGCCGCAGCATCACACCACACTTTACTCAGCTAATTACGAATATGAGCTCAGGTCTGCGGAAAACAGGACAAGCGGTCAGCAGTCACCCTCTGTGAGCCTGCTCCCAGTGTCCAGGGAGAATAACATCCCAGTGTCCTCCAGCCGGCCTTTGCCAGCCTTCCCGGTGTTAGGCCTGGCCCTCAGAAACTTCCTGAGTCCAGATAGGAGTCCCTAAGCTTGAAAGTTCGCATCTAAAACCCTCACACAGGAAGTTGCCTTCAGAGCCTGTGATCCGAATCATAAACAGTATAATCAAGCAAGGATGTCGGAGCTTCAGGGAGAATTAAAACTTAATTATGGCTTTGCGGCAGTGGCTTGTTTGGTCCCCACAGCAGAGCAGACCTGGAGGAGCCTGGCCCATGTGGCCCCACAGTTGTGTCACAAAGCCCCCTCTTTCAACCATCCTTCCCTGTCACCTCTGCAAAGGATTGAGGGTGGGGACAGTGCCCTGCACAAGCCACAAGACCCCTCAGCGCAGACCTCTGTGGGCAGGAGGCTCCGTCCGAGCCCCTGGGCACCTGTGTCAGAGGCGGGGCTGGCCGGCACAGGCTGACCCTGGACTTGGCCTGGAAAGCAGATCTCATCCCCACAAAGCCAGCCTGAAGCTCCCACAGGGCTGTCTGGGGTTCCCTGTGAGCGGGCCACAGGCTTCCAGGCAGTGGCTTTGAGGGCGACACACGAGCATGTCGGCATGAGGCCTTCGCAGCGTGATTCAACCCTTGTTTTTAAATTACATTAATCAAATGATCGTTTTGCTTTCTGAGCACAATGTTAGATATCTCATGTGAGAGAACTTTTTTTACTTGCTCATGTGTAGAAGAACTGGGGTGTAGGCCAGAGGTGGGAGGGTGAGAGGACTCCCCAGAGACAGAGTGGGGAGCAGAACAGGCAGATCCACTGAAGCTCCCTGCTGGGGGGAGCAGTGGGGAGACAGGAGAGGTCTGCTGCGCCCTGGGGGTCCCTCCCTGGCCGGGGACCGAAGTCACGCTGCAGGGCCTGTGGACAGCCTCACAGTGCTGAGACTCACCCCTGCGTCCCCCGGCGGCCAGCGCCTCCCCACACACCTGTCACTGCCCTCACGGAACGGGTTCCAGCAGGCCGACTCCATGGTTCTTACACTGGCGGCTGCTCCCGGGAGAGCTTCTCTTGAGCCCAGGCCCCTCTCTCTGGCGTCCTCTTTCCTGATCACGTCACACGTTTCAGGGAGCCCTCTCCTGGGGTGCTCACGGCACAACACGAACATGAATTCTCTTGGCCAGATTTGTTCGCACAAATGCCAGCACCACGCTGGGCAGGGTGAGGTGTGGGCATGTCCCGACCGTGCCCTCCCCTCGTCACCTTGCAGACTCCGCACGAGTGGCCGTGTTGCTCAAGGGCCTGGGGGACACAGGGCGGCGCCTGCCTCCGCCGGTCATTCTGGCCAGCCGCGAGGCCACGTCCCGCTGAACTATAATGGGGTCTTCAGGTATTTCAACCCGGAGGCGGCGCCAGGACATCCCAGCACTCGGCAGCCGGATGGGCTTGTGGCTGCGGCGCCCCGAGACTTCGCTGTGGTGCCTGGAGGGGGAGACGCCTGTGGGGTTTCAGATCACTGGAGGCACCCTGGCATTACTGTGCCTTTTAAATAAAGCTGCTTTCAAATTTCATGGGAAGCAGAAAGACCCCGGTCTCTGAGGCAGTCTCAGCCGGCATCCCCCACGAAGTCGGGGTGGGGTTTTCACCTGTAGACCGTCTTCCAGAAGAAACTCTTGGCCTGGCTCTTTCGGGACCGCCCGAGGGAGGCCTCCGGCCACATGGACGCTTCGCCGGCCCGGCCTTCGAAGCCCAGGCTGGCCTGTGAGGCCCAGCGGCACCCCGTGCAAGGGCAGCCCGTGGGCTGATGTTCTCCGGCTTCCTCCTGGAGGCGCAGGGCTAAGTGCTCAGCCCCGCGAAGCTGCCGCGGCCCCTGCAGCACGAGTTCCACCCCCGGCCAGGGAGTGACCCCAGGGCGCAGCAGACCGCTCCTGTCTCCCCACTGCTCCCCTCAGCAATGTGCTTCAGTGGATCCGCCTGTTCTGCTCCGCGCTCTCTGAGGAGTTCGCTCATCACCACCACCTCCTCACCTCTTACCTGCACCCCAGCTCGTGTATGCATAAATAAATAAATCTTTAAAAAAAAAAAAAAAAGTGGAGGACAAAGCAAAGAGAAGTCTGGCTCAGCAGCACCAGAGACATAACCCCAGTCCGTCCGGCGACCGGGCTCCGTGACAGCAGGCCTGTCCACGTGAAAGCTGAGGAAGGTTGCACACCCCAGCTTTGCTGTAAGGAGAAAAGGGAAAGCTGACAGGCCTCAGCCGGGGTAAACCAGGGAAGATGCTTCTGCTGACAAGCGGGGGGGTGAGGGGTGGGGTGCCCCACACGGCGCCCTTCGACACACATCAGAGGGAGACGTCGGAGCCGGTGATGAATGACTTGCCTGAAACTCATCTGGTAATTTCAGAGAAAAGTCCTTTTTAATGGTCAATTTTATGGACTCTGTCTTGGAACTTTTTCAAAGTGGAAAAAAGAGAAAAATAAATCACTCGTGAAAGTTGCAAGTTCTCGCAACAGGGAGTATGATGATGTCAGTCCGTCTGCGGCGTGAGAACGCGGGCTGTGGATAAACGATGGTTCCAGAAGGAGGTGTGACCTGGATGGACACACACCCCGGCAGCCCCACTGTCCTGCCCCAACCCACACACCCCGGCCGGTCCCTGTCCTGCCCCCCAACCCACATACCCGGGCTGTCCCCACTGTCCTGCCCCCCCACACACACACCCCGGCTGGTCCCTGTTCTGCCCCCCTCCCCCGCCACACACACACACACCCCGGCCGGTCCCTGTCCTGCCCCCCCGCCCCCCGCCACACACACACACACCCCGGCCGGTCCCTGTCCTGCCAGCCCTCCACCAGGGCTGCAGCGGGGCTTCCCGGCTGGTGGGGAGACGGCACCGACTGGCCTCAGGGTCCACAACAGGCCCCACAGTTCAGCAGGGAAAAAGCTTGCCCAGCTCCCTGTCCTGGCTCCGAGGCAGTGGAGACCTTTCCTGCTGCTCCAGGCAGAGCGGACGTTCTGAAACGTCCCCAGCTCCATGTAATCTCAGTGACAGACCCTTTTCCCCAAGTTGTGTAGCAGCTGGTGTGACGGAAGTAACGCCCGACGGCACCGGGCCAGGTGCACGTCACAGACACCGCTCCTCTGTGTGGTTCACCGTCTGGTTCTAAGCTAATGGGGTCAGCTGCAGTTCGGATGACCTTCCAGGCCTCAGGAAGAAGTCTGCAGAAAAAGAACCTCAAGAGCTCCTTGCTGCCCTGGGGCGCCAAAGATGGCCACAAGGGAGGGCCAACATCCCTCGGACTCTCCAGAGTAAACTCAGCCTCACCTGGAACGCGCAATGGCAAAGAGGGGCTCGAGACCAGAAAGTGGAGCCAGCTCTTCCTTACAGAGCTGGACCAGCCCTCCGACAACCCCTAAAAAATGTGGTCAGACCACGCATCAAACATACAAAGGGGGCCTTCGCCGGGGGTGCAGTGGGTTAAAGCCCAGCGCTGCAAGCTGGCCGTGGCCGCTTCCATGCGAGTTCCATCCCCGGCCAGCGAGTGACCCCCAGGACGCAGCGGCCTTCGCCTGTCTCCCGCTGCTCCCCTCAGCAGTGGACTTCGTCCATCTGCCTGTTCTCTCCCCACTGTCTCTGGGGAAGCCTCAAACCACCCCCGTACCTCTGGCCTGCACCCCAGTTCTATGTGCATGAATAAACAAATCTTTAATATATTTATATGAAATGTGGCAGAAATTTCTACAGAAATGTGGCAAAAATAAAGGCAAAGACCACCAAAAGGAAACAGCTAGATGATTATATGAAAGAGTAAATAAGGTTTTTCCGAGCCGCCAGATGGAACTGCTGCGATGATCTGCTGAGTGCAGGCGCCGCTCCCTGTCCGGACAGGCTTCCCGCCGGCAAGGGGTATTTGTCCAGTTCTCTCAGGCGGGCTTCGGCAGCCGACGGCCCCGAGAACACGGCCTGGAAAGCACCTGGCTTCGCTGACATCTCCGCTTGTCTCTTCAGACCCACGGAGGCAGGCGCATTGCAGGGTCCAGCCAGCAAAGCTCGCCTTTCCCAAAGCCGCGCCGTTAGTGCTCACTGTCCACCCCCGCAGCCTCTGCTGGCCCCGCGGAGTTTCTGTTTTCTTCCTCTAACTTTTTCTTCTTTGCTTTTCTTTCTACATTAAGCTGAGTGAGCTCTTCATTTTTCTCTGTGATGTATTTTAGCTACAAAAAATATATTTTCAGAATTGTACTTTTATGTGGTTATAAATGTGTCCCATAAACCTACGGCCCTATGCCCGCTGCTGTTCACATCCACACTGAGGCGCTGGGCCGGAAACCTGCTTCAGCCCTGGGACTTACGTGCCGCTTAGGGTGCTGGTCTGGAAGAAGGAACCAGCAACAGAAACGAGCTCAGTGCTCTCTGTAACCTGCCAGGCCGGAGCTTCTGGAGTCTTCCAAAGACCTGGCAGGCGGAGCGTGCAGGAGTCACGCCGTCACAGGGCAGCCGACTGCCCAGGGTGGCTACACTGGCCCGACACCTACTACGTGCCACCCGCGAGCGACACAAGCAAGCGGGCTGGGCACAGGCGCTTTCAGCCAAGTTTAGCTCAACCCCTCAGTAATCAGCTCTGCTGGTTGGAAAAAATAAGAGTCCAAACTAAATGCAATATTCTCAGCAAACATCCACCAACCAGGGAATTTCCCAGATCAAGTAGCCATCATGATGCTGCAGAAAACTGGTGGAGAGAAATCCCCGCTGCACACAGAACCGCCAGCCCCTTCGCCGCGCTTCCTGGGGCTCAGACGCTTCTCCCTGGCTGAAACCGGACGAGGGCTCCCGCCAGTGGAAAGGGCACCGATCGGGTCAGGGGTCGGTCCGCGTGCCCCCCCGCCCCCCCGCGGGCTTCCTCCCTGCACCGGGTGCTGACAAGTCATGAAAGCCCTTGGCAGGCGCTCGTGGGGTTCAGGTAAAATGTCTGTGCCACTGTGAGCGCCTCTGTCCACTTTCCAGCTTCGCTCAGCTCCTGTGCACGGCACCTGCGTGTACCAGCCTGCCTTCGGCTCAGGGACGGAGCGGAGGAGACAACCCCTGCCCTGGGGGCGCCCGCGGGAAGCGCCACGGGCAGGGCACTGCCAGGCTGACTAAGCCAGGACGCGGCGGGCGGCCAGGGCCGCTGTCTGGAGCGCTCGGCCCGCAGGACGACCTCTGGGCCGCTCTAGAGGGTGCTCGCTTTCCCCGCCGACCCGGCTGCCAGGGACCCTGTGGGCACCCAGAACTGACGCCCCACCCCTAGCCCGTGATTACAAAAAGGCAAACATGAAACCCAGAGTGCTGACTAGGGCATAGCAAGACCCTCACGCTGAGAGTCCGTAAATCACATCCTGGCCCCTCTGGCCCGTCTCTCAGAGGGGCCCCAGGGAGTCGCTTCGGGCTGCGAGTGATTAATTGGGAATAATGGGTTCTGATGGGAAAGGGGACTGGGAAAGACATTCTCTCTCTCTCACCAGCGAACTGCTCCTCCTGGCTAAGAGCTTCACGTCCTCGGTGTTAATTGTGCTTCTTCTCGCGTGTCTGCAGAAAGGGCAGAAAACGACTCACCAAAGCGTATGGTTTATTTAAAGTTTTGACAGAACTCAAAGGCTCACGGTCAGACTTGGAACTGGCAAGGGCCACGAAGCAGACCCCATTTTGCGACTACGGTCATTAAGCCAGGGGGACACAAAGACGAAGGTCCGAGCCAAGACACCTACTGAGTAAGACCAGGCCTCCCTGGTGGCGCACGGGTACAGGTCCCACCCCCAGCCAGGGAGGGTCCCCCAGGGTGTGGCAACCCCCTCTGCCTCCCTGCTGCTCCCCTCAGCAGTGGCTCCGCCTGTTCTGCTCCCCACTCTGTCTCTGGCCTACACCCCAGCTCTTCTACTCAACAAATAAACTTTTTAAAAAATAATTAAGACAAAGGAGGTGGCTGGGAAGAGCCTGCCTTGCTTCTGCAGGGGGTCCTCGGAGAAGTCTGAGGAGCAAGGGTCTGACCCCACAAGGGGAGGTGTCTCCCTGAGCGCGAAGCCTCAGCCTGGAGGCAGCAGCCCGGCCGCAGGCCCCTGGGCTTACAAGACCAGCTGCTTCCTGGGGAGCCAGTGTCCAGCCGCCTGCCCGTGCCCCGCAGAGAACACCAGCCTCCTGCTGGAGAGCAGAGTGCCAAGGCTCTCTGTAAGGAAGCTAAACATTTCTAATTTCACTTTTACTTCTTCTTATTTCATCCTTACAGAAGCACTTGAAAGGTTTCATTGTCTTCTCCCACGGGGAACAGACAAATGGCGGGAAGGGCACCGCTGGGGACCCACCGCCTGGGGGAAGAGGCTCCGGGCTGCACACAGCTGACGTCTGAAGGGGCAGTCTCCAGACTAGGGGGGCCTGGGGGTCGGGCGGGGCTTCCTGGCCCGGACCCTGCTCTAGTCCAAAACGTGATGTTCTAGTCAACACCCATCTGGCTTGATATTCCCGTTTCCATGTCTCCCGCGGAACTGAAAGGGGCTGCATTTTCATCCAGAAAATACGTGGCAAGAGGCGACCGATTATTCCACAAGGGACGGGCTGGGGCGACGGGAGGGGGGGCCACAGCGGAGACCACCGCCCAGGCCACCGCGAGTGAGAGCGCCTGGTGGGTCAGCTCGTTTTTAGCCAAGTTGACAGTGCTAAGCGGGTTTTAGGGGTGCATCTGTACAGGGGCCAGAAGGATTTAGAACCTGTCCCCCGAGAACCTTCTATACTAATTCATTGAAAATACTCATCTCAGAAACCACGAGCCAACAGGAACCAGGTGAAAAGTTCGGGGCGTGGTAGAGGCTGGCAGGGATGCAAGTGGTGCCGGTGAGGGCGCTGTGGCCCTTCCAGGCCTTAAGTCATGCACGTTGCATCATAAAAGCAATCTGTTGCAACTGTTTTCAATTCCCTGAGGTGCTCAAGGGAGAGAGAGCACAACACCTGTGGGAGCCACAGCCCAGCAGCGGAAGCAAGTCCCTGCTTCTCCAGGAGACAGGCCGGCCGTGGCCACGCTGTGCCAGGCCGCACCTGCTGACTCGCCCCCCACCCCACCGCTCGCGCACGTGGGGGCTCCCCACGTCACCCCGGCTTGCAGAGGGTTCCTACGGGTAAGTGCCGGCACACTCAGGGCCCTGCAAACGCGGCTCATGCCTTTTCACCCCGAAACCAAGTAGTCCGGTTTTTTGCCAAAAAGGTTTGGAATTTTCCCCAAACTCCCAATCACGCCTGCCGGGGCGTGACTGCAGCAGCTGTGCCCTGCAGAGCCGCACTGAGAGCCGCGGCCCCGCCACACGCACGCAAAGAACAGCGAAGCCCCCACCCCGGCCAGGCGCAGAGCCGCTGCACGCAGGGCAGCCGGCCACCAGGGCCCCACGCACCTTGCAAACATTTCAAGGTCTTTGGCAAAGTTTTCTGAAAGAGAAAAAGAGGCAAGTTGGTTACTTTATGTGAGTCCTGTTCCAGGAGGACCTGGAGTCTCAGTTTCGGCGGCAGGTGCCGCAGAGACCGAGCCCACAGGCCCCGGCGGCACCCGGCGGCTCTCGCTCCCTGCGTCTTCCGCGTGCTTCTGGCACCTTCTACCCCTTGCCGCAAGCCTTCTGGTAACTGGCTTCTCCTTGCTTCCTGGAAACTATCCCTTCACTTTCAATTCTGCTACAAGTCAGCCAGTGCTCGCCAGGACACTCGCTTCCTCTAAGTTAAGCCGAGCCAGAGCCACCCACCCGCGGCCGTCAAACAAGCTTCGGGTAATACAGAAATGTTAGGAAGAATGAAATGGAAACTTAATGTTCAGGGCAGTTTAAAACACCACAGATGAAAGGCGCCAGCGCCAGGTGTCGGTGTAACGGGCAAGTTCCTTCCATAAAGCACTGAGCCTCCGGGTGAAGTTTCTCCACGACGGTCTCCGTCCAGGGGGGCCAGGGCCCCGCCTCGCCCCACCCACATTCCTCCCGGGCAAAACCCTCCCGGGGGTCACAGAGACAACGGGAAGACCAGCCTCGTACCGCACTGTCGGAAAGTCACCTCCGAAATGGCCGCGACGGTCTGTTTGCTGAACTGCACCTGCCGGTCGGCCGCGACTCGCTCGCAGAGACAGCCCACGGTGTAGTGCACCGCAGCCCGCAGCCGCTGAGGCGAACAGAAGGCGTTAGGGCGACGGGCCCGGCTCGGAGGACAGGGCCAAGCGAGGGTCTGCTCGCCGGGTCCCTCTAGCAAGGCCCGGAGGGCGAGTGACTTTCAAGGGCTAATACCCTACCCAGGCCCGGGAGGCCACCTGCGGGAGCATTACTTCCGTTAAAGGTCACGATTTAGGTCAAGTACAGACAAGGATCTGGGAAGTCAGGCTGGCGCCTTCGGCCACTTTACGGGCCCCCGCAGGGAGGCACCCAGTTCCTAGAGAGCCAAGGCCAAGCCACGCACTTGCGGAACAGATGAAACACCAGGCGGGGCTCTGCCCGTTCACGGTTCATCAAACAGATGCAGAAAGCCCCGCCAGGCTGCAGGACGCAGGCCCACAGAAAGGAGGGTGCGGCTGGCCCCCTTGGCTGACCCCCCTCAGCAGGGCCCGCACTGCTCCTCGGCTGCACTTTCAGATGCTGGGGAAAATCAGTAGCCCACGCAGAAGAACAGAGGCGAAGTCGGGCCTCCCTGCGGGTGCAGGGGTGACAGTCAGCGCCATCAAGCCATCACAGCCAGTGTGGCACCAGGCGATCCCCGGCCAGGGAGGGACCCACAGGGCGCAGCAGACCTCTCCTGTCTCCTGCTGCCCCCTCAGCAGTGGATTTCAGTGGATCCACCTGTTCTGCTCCCCACTGTCTCCGCTGGACCCTCTTACCCCTGCACCTCTGGCCTGTACCCCAGTTCTTACTGCATAAATCTCTAAAAAATAAAGAGGTAGAGCTAGCTAGGCCCAGGTCTCGTCTCATATCCATAACCCTGTTGAGCCCACGTGTGTGTGCGTGTCCAGACAACTGGACACGAGGACTGCTGGCCCCAAGGCCACACTGTACTAGCAGAGGCTCAGGGCAGAGGAACGGGAGGAAGTGTGACAGCAGCGGCCAGGCAGGTAAGCACGGGGCACGTCCTTTGCTTCGGACACTGCAAGGCCAGGTAAGCTGAGGTTTGGCAGGAGGCCGCGGGACCTTCACCCTGGGAGGAAGACCCTGCAAAGTCACGGGTTTAGGGCCCGGGGTGCGGAGGCCAGGTGTCCTGCATGCGCCAGGAAGTCTTCCCCCTCCGCTCTCCTGGCCTGCGCCTCCTGCCCTGGGCTGCGCCTTCTGCAGGCTGCAGACCCCTGCAGCTACAGCCCTGGGCGGCCAGTTTCACGCCTCTGTAGGGTTCCTCACACTGTCCACCTGCATGAGAGCAGCTGGCTGAGTGTGGGCCGCTCCTCCCGGCCTCCGCTGCACAGAGAAAGGGCTCGCAGTTCTAGCCCACCCTGCAGCCCTGCCGGCTTGACCAGTAAGCGTGTACATAGTCGGGGTCTGTACTAGGGGCTGCGAACTCAAGGCTGCAAAGGACAGCCCCAGCTCAGTTTCTCCCCTCTGCCCCTCCACCACGAATGGATTCTTTCCTGTCCACGTGAGGAAAGGCTAAGGGTGGGGAAGTGTCCCCGGAACACCAAGAAGACGAGTCTCCATGGTGCACGCTCCCTGACTGGGTGCTGGGTGCAGGGTGCAGGAAAACACCACCCACCGGGGAGAACTGGGACACGGCTAGGACTCCCACAACAGAGCGCAGGACTTCAAACTCCTGAGGATGGTCACTGAGACGGCGCTTGTGCCCTTAGCTTGGAGAGGCCTAGTGGAGTATTAAGATTAGAAGGCAAAGAGGCATGATCTCTGCAGTTAATTCTCAAATAATGCAGGAGAAAGAAGCAAGGGAGCAAATCATGAAGACCTGGAGCCTGGGGAGAGGGGCAGCCAGGAGTTCCCTGGACGCCACTTTTTCTTTAGGCTTGAACTTCTGTGAATAAAGGGAGAAGGTAGGTAAACAACTTCAGAAATGTAACACTTTGCGGGCAGGAAGTGCGAGTGTCCCTTAGGTGACTCCTTTAAAAAGAGATTTATTTGTGCATACAGAACTGGGGTGCAGGCCAGAGGTGCACGGGGTGAGAGGATTCCCCAGAGGCAGAGTGGGGAGGAGAACAAGCAGATCTACTGAAACCCACTGCCAAGGGGGAGCAGCAGGGAGACAGGAGGGGTCTGCTGCACCCTATGGGTCCCTCCCTGGCCGGGGATCGAACTCGCGCTTTAGTGGCTGCGGCAGCTTCGCAGTGCTGCGCTTCAACCTGCTGTGCGCCAGGGAGGCCAGGGGACTCCTTTTTGAGGCTGGCGGGCTGACCCCCGCCTTTTCCCTCTTCAGCACCGTCACCTTCTCAGGACACTATTTATTCCGCGGCTGGTTAGAGGAAGAACTGAATGCCAGCAGCCACCCTGCGCGGTGCCAACTCCGAGTTTCCACTTGTCCCTGCGTAGACGCAGTGCACACAGCCCCGGGTGGCGCAGCCGAGACTGACCGCCCGGAAGGATGACCAGCAATGTGTTTGCAACCTGGCGGGATGGCGCGCGCAGGTCGAAGCGCCCACTCCTTGCCGAGCGCTGGGCCTGGTTTCCCTCTAACGGTTGAGAAGGGAAACGGAGGCCGTCGCAAAGCCAGCGGGCGCTACACTCTCTGGACTCCGGCTGTGCGGTGCCCCACTGCAGGCCTCGCTCCCGCCGGGGCGTCGGGTGCCCACCAGCGTTGCCATGGAAACCCCCTCCCGCCCCGCCCCTCGGGCAGGCCAGCTGGCGCATGCGCAGGCGCCAGGCGGCCGGAAGCAACCTGGGCGCGCCCCGCGACCCCCGCGAGGGAGGCTCGAGACCGCTTTCTCTCCGGAAACAAGACGCCCGCTACCGCGGCCCAAGCGGGGCCCGGTGCCCCTTACCTGTTGGTAAGAGAAGCGCTGCTGCTCCTCGGCCCCTTCGTCCTCCTCCATCACAGCCCACAGGTTCGAGTGGGCGCGCGGGGACTGAAAGGCGCAGCGTCCCGGACGACCCAGTCCGGTTTTCCCGCGGAAGTTCCCGGCGACGGGTCGCTCGGAGGGACAAAACGCGAAGCGAAGTTCTACGTTGCCGGCGCCCCCTGGCGGCGGCTCTGGGAAGGGTTTTGCGGGGCCGCCCCTCCGGCCGCTCGTGCCCTTGGCCGCCAGGGGGCAGCACTGACCACGCGCCGCGCGGGCTGGGGGAACCAGAGGCTCCTAGAACGACGCAGCCATACACTTCATTCTACATTCCCTGTAGCCGCGGCTTGCGAATGCCCTGCAGTATCCACTGTTTGTATTCATAGTCACCAACAACGTGCCTCAGAGTGGCCAGGGATCGTGGTGTGATTCCTGCCTGTTCAGCCAGGGGGTCGCTCAGCTCAGGCCACTGACCAGGAGCAGTACAGGGACTCCCTGGTGGTGCAGAGAGTTAAAGTGCAGCACTATGAAGCTGTCTGCAGCGCCTGCAGCATGAGTCGATCCCCAGCCAGGATGCTGACCCACATGGCTTGGCAGACTCCTGTCTCCCCGCTGCTCGCTCAGCAGTGCACTTCGTGATCCGCCTGTTCCACTCCCCACTGTCTCTGGTAAATCCTCTCGCCCCCTGCACTTCTAGGCTGTACTCCAGTTCTGTGTGCATCAGTAAAATCTTTATATTACCTTGGTTGTTGATATTATTTAAGCCCAAGCTTATGTACCTTAATTTTTCTTTAAAGATTTATTTACTTATGCACACAGAACTGGGGTACAGGCCAGAGGTGCGGGGGGCAAGAGGTTTCATCAGGAACAATGGGCTGAAGTACATTGCTAAGGGGAGCAGCGGGGAGACAAGAGCAGTCTGCTGCGCCCTGTGGGTCCCTCCCTGGCGGGGAATCGAACTCATGCTGCAGGGGCTGCGGACAGCTTCACAGTCTGCGCTGTGACCTGTTGCACCACCAGGGAGGTCCTACATAACTTAATTTTTAATAATGGCCACAGTTGTCTCTGGCTTGGCATATGCCTGCAGATTTAGAATCAGCTCCATTGCAGGGGCTCGAAGCGGCCTCAGGGAGGTGGATGCAGAAGGTCAGTGAAGACAGACCCCCCCTCCCGGGCGGCGGGGCAGGTGGGCGCTCAGAGAGGGGCAGGTACCTGGAAAGGTGTCCATGAGGCCTGGCATGGGGCCAGTGTCCACTGCGGTTCTCTAGGACATGCATCTGGGACTCTGTGAGCCAAGGAGCTTTGAGGACAGTGCTGGCATCTGCCCACTGCCCCAGGCCCAGTGGGAGCACCTGCCGCGGAGGGCGGCGGATTGGGAAGCTCCGTCATGCCTGGGGTGAGGCTGGGGGCCCCCACAGCAGGAAGGACTTCTCCAGGTGGGTGCTCCTCTCGCCTCAGCTCCCAAGTGGCTTCTGTGGCCTGTGGTGCCACACAGCTCCCCGGCGCCTCCAGGGCGCCTTTCCATGGACGCCTTTCCAGCACCCCTCCGGGCAGGTTTGCAGTAAGCTCCGCCCCGCCGCACCTCAGCCAACTTACAGACGCCAGGGACTCACGGCCCTGTCCTCCCGCCGGCCGGGGCCCCCCACCCAGCCGCTCCCCAGGGCAGGGAGGGCCCTTTCATGACACCCCCGTTAGAGTTCAGTTCTCCGTGTGCCGTTTTCCACGGTGGGCGGGGGTGAGCACAGCTGCAGGCCGCAGACTCGCGTGGGACTCCCTGCAGGTGGAGCCCAGCTCCGGCGCAGGCACGCGGCGCGGCCTCGCTCGCCCCCCCCACTGTCACGCTCTCACCGGCTCCACGACCCGCCGGGCCGGGGCCCTGAGCCCTCGCAGGGGGTTCAGCTCGCAGGCCGATGGCAGTTTCCCCTGCGCGGCCCTGAGCGTGCCCCGCCGAAATTCAGCCCCCGCGGGTGGAGTGGACCCGGGGGGCTGCGGGCTGCGGGCTGCTCTGAGCCCGGACACGTGGCACCGCGCCGGGCTCGCCAGCCCAGACACAGGCCAGTGTGTGGGTGAGGGAGGCAGGGGACACGGCGATACGGTGGCCTGTGATTAAGTGCTGGACTCTGGCACAGGCTCCCGGGCTCAAATTCCAAGTCTTCAGAAGCCGCAAGACGTTGCTTGGGCCACTCAGCATCCCCCAGGCGATTGAGAGGCCGAGGCGAGAGGTCCCGCCTGCCCCTCACCCGCCCCACATGCTCCAAACAAGCTCCTTTGTGTCCCAAGGTGGCTGCGTCACCGGCCCACAGCCCACGGGGGGTCGCCGCTGCTGGAACGGCCACCAGGCTGTCCAGGCCGTGGCCACCCACACCCGTTCCGCACGCGGCCCTGCCTCCCCGGCGGGAGGGAGTGTGGGGTACACAGTAACCCAACCCAGTCCCTTCACACGGGCACGGGGCTGGGTGCCAGGCCCCGCTGGGGTGTTGCGCCCCTTTCGTCCTCCAGCAGGCGACAGTGAGGTGACACGGTGACTCAGCAGTGGAGTGGAGGTTAGGGCCCCGGGCCTCACGTGTGGGCCCAGCTGCCTTTGCTGGAAGTGGGGACACAGGAGAACCGGCCTGCTTGAAAGTGCTCCGCACCATCTCGGCACAAGATTCCAAAGGCGCGAAGGACACAGGGAAACGACCGCCCTGGTCACTGTCCACAGGAGCCACAGCGTCGCCTGTCGCCCACTTCCTGTCACGGCGCCCTAAGGTGGCACGTGCCAGCCCGACACGTGGGAGCGGTGGGACCGGGAAGGGGCCTTACACGACCTCACAACGCGCCCAGGGGGCACAGCCGGACGCAGCCCTGCTCAGCCTCGGATCTTTCACCGCGCCCCGGTCTCACTCACAGGCCTCCTGCTTGCCGGGGCCAGGGCAGGGCACGGCATGTGGGCAGGAATCTGCGTCTTCAACACGTCTGGGGGGACTGTGGCTCCCCGCTTGCCCCCTGCCCGGTCCCCAGGCCTGAGCCTCAGCAGAAACATCACTGCTTCAGGACAGGTCTGGCCCACAGGGGCGAGATCAGGGCAGCGACTGCCCCAACACCCTGGAGGAGGCAGGTGCTTGTGCCCATTTCACACAGGAGAAAACAGGCCGCAGTTACTCCATCACTTGCCCCGCCACAAGCTAAAAAGTAGAAGCTGGGGCGGGGGCCCAGCGGCCTCCAATCACGACTTCCTAAAGAGCGGAGGCCTGAGGGGAGCCCGCCCCGATGCGCGAGGCTCTGCTCCCCGTCCCCGCCACCCAAGTTCTCCCTGAAGGCTCCCGCTGGCTGCCACAGAGCAAGTGGTCAGCTGGTCACCCTTTGAGAAAAACTTTTTTATTATTACAAAGTTTATTTTTACATCATTTTGCACATTTTTTTTTTCCATCTCGATTGTAATCCCCGCGGGTTTCCCATCACCAAATCACCCCTGTGCCACCACCATAGTCCCGTGCATTTCCCTCCCTTCCCCCTGCCCCCGTTTTTGATCCCATTCCCCACCCCACCCCCACAAAATATCTCTGGTCTATGGTTGTTCATTATTTTTGTTATTTTCTCGCCTGGTCCATTATACTCCTGCTATGAGTGAAACCATCCGGTATTTTTCTTTCTCTTTCTGGCTTATCTCACTAAGCATGATCTTCACCAGCTCCATCCAAGTTGCTGCAAAAGACAGGTGTTTCTCTTTTTTGGTTGCTGAGTAATATTCCATTGTATATATGTACCACATCTTTCTAATCCAGTCATCTACTTTTGGGCATTTGGGCTGCTTCCATGTTTTTCCAATTGTAAATAAAGCAGCAATAAACATGGGGATACAAGTATCTTGAAAAAAACTCATTTTAATAGTGCACAGAACTTAAAAAGTAAGCCCGGGGCCCTCCCTGGTGGCTCAGCAGGTTAAAGCACAGCACAAAGAAGCTTAAGCCACTTCCGCATGAGTTCGATCCCCCACCCGCCCAGGAGATCCACATGGCGGACAGACCTCTCCTGGCCCGCCCGCTGCTCCCCTCAGCAGTGTACTTCCACGATCTGCCTGTTCTGCCCCCCTCTCTGTCTCTGGTGAATCCTCTCACCTTCCGCATCTCTGGCCTGTACCCCAGTGCTGTACAATGAATAAATAAATCTTTGAAAAAAAAAAAAAGTAAGCCCGGGTCAGGAGCAGTGACCTCAGTGGTGGGGGTGTGTGGGGCATGAGGAGAGCGAGGCTGAGCTTCAGAAGTGGACTGTCCCCCAAGTCCAAGGGTCTGAGCGAGGTCAGATGATAGATCTCAGCTGTTAAAACAAGGAAGTTGTTCGCTTTTTGCTAAGGCTCTCAGGGTTTCCTAAAGCATTCCGGAGAATTCTTCCTGGAGATAAGGCTGCAATGAAGCAATGACATTGGCCCCCGGCCATGCACCGGTTCAGTACGCCAGCAGGTTGTTCCCACGATGACGAGAAAGGCCTGAGTGAGCAAAAATCGCCGCAGCACACTCAGGCAGCAAATCCAGGGGCCTGACTTGGGAACCGAGGGAAGGAGCCAGGAGGCTGGGCGCGCTGAGTGTTTATGGTGCGATCTTGGACACACAGAAAGGCAGAAAGAATTACAATGAATGTCCAGGGCGCCGCCAAGCCCAGACCCCAGCGAGGCCCTGCCCTGCCACCTCGCCCTTCCTGCAGAGTTCAGCTTTATCCTCGATCTGGGGTTTCTCATATTGTTCTAGTCTTCCGTAGAGATAACATAGATGTATACAGATAAAGAAAGCAAAGTGGAGAAAGTTAAGAAAGGAAGAAAAGACTCTAATCTAAGGACCCTGGGTGGAAGCTTTCTGCCGGGGGCTTCGGCCGGCATCCGAGGCAGGGGTGGGGGTGCACACTGCAGCTTTAAGTGCAGGAGCGGGGGCTCCCCCGCCTGCCGGGGGAGGGGTGCCACGCCGGCCTGGGCTGCGCCCGCGTCACCACCACGGCGATCACGGCTCAGAACCACTTCACAAACGAACTCGGGGTGACTTTTTCAGGAGTCTCTTGCGACACTTTATTCGAAAAGACATGAGCAGAAAGGAGGGCAGCGGGCCTGCGGGCAGTCACGTGCGGGTCCCGTCACGTCCCCGGCGGCCTAGGCGTTGTATGAAGAGGACGACACGCTGCCGCCGTGGCCCGTCCAGTTGGTGTGGACAAAGTGTCCCGGTTTGGTTAAGAGTTCATAGGTGTGTGCCCCGAAGTAATCCCGCTGGGCCTAGAAGCAAGAAGCCGGGGTGAGGCGACTCGCCAGGCACGGGTCCCCGCCCCGGGGCCGTCTGCTCTGAGGCAAGCTCACCTGGATCAGGTTGGCGGGCAGCGTGTCGTGTCTGTACCCGTCGTAGAAGGAGAGGGCGGTGGTGAAGCAGGGCAGGGGGATGCCCGCCTGCACGCCGGTGCAGATCGCCCGCCGCCAGGATTCCTGCGCAGGGGAACAGCAAAGATGGGCCGCGGGAGGCTCACAGGAGCCGGCAGAGGGGAGCCGGGTGCCCCGCAGGCAGAACCCGGGCAGAGTCCCAGCGCCTGGGTACCTGGCAGTTTTCCACAGCCGACTTGAAGAAGTCATCCAGGAGCAGGTTCTGAAGTCCTGGGTTCCGGCCAAACGCATCTTTTATCTTTCCTAGGAACACGCTGAAATGCGAGAGGAGACACCCGTGGCACGCAGGAACCCTGGCGCTCTCCCCGAAACAAACCCACCCCAGAGTCGACGAAGCCAGGGCTCAGAGCGCGGGAGCCAGGCCAGAGGGCGCCGGCGCTCAGAGCGCCCTCAGAGGCCGCGTCCTGGCCCTGGCCGGCACAGAGCAGCTGGTGGCCCCGCGCCCTACCTTCGGATGATGCAGCCCCCCCTCCACATCAGGGCGATGCCTCCGTAGTTGAGGGTCCAGCCGAATTCGGTGGCGGCCTGCCTCAGCAGCATGAAGCCTTGCGTGTACGAGATGATCTTGGAAGCGTACAGGGCCTGAGGGCAGCGGCCGCTCAGAGGGCAGGCAGAGGCGCCGGCCTGCGCCTGGCAGCCTTGCCCCCACCCCGGGTGGCCCCAGAAAGGACGGCTGGGGGAGCTGCACTTGACCCTGGGCCTCAGCAGGCCGCCCCGCCCCACCTGGCCCGGCCAGCCCACCTTCCGAATGTCCTCCAGGAAGGATTTCTTATCGCCCTGGAACTGGATCTTCTGAGGGCCCTTCAGCTTCTTGCTAGCTTGAACCCTCTCATCCTTCAGCGCCGACAAGCATCGAGCAAAGACCGCTTCTCCTGCGTGGGGAGGGGCGGAAGTGTGGCACCAGAGCGCACGCCTGAAGCCGGAGAAGGGGACACAGGCGCCCCAGGGCGAGGAGAGAAGCACCACAGGGGTCCGGGATTTCTGGGGTCGGAACGCCTCCCCCTGAGCTCCCAAAGCTTCACCTGGCTCAAAGAACTTCCATGAAAAGCGCTCAATGACTGACTCAACGAAAACACTAAGTCAAACTTGTAACATAAACAGGCGTTGGAGCTCAAAGATGAAGATGAAATGCAAACGGGAGTTGAGAGGAAAGAGGCGAAGCCATCGCTCGGCCTGCGGGGTGAGGGTCTGGGAGTGGCATTTCCCTCTCCTGAGGGACTCGAGGGTGTCTCTCCTGGAGCAGGAACCACCACCCGCTGGGAACTGGTCAGTGAGAGGCCCTCAGCCTCCCTCTTCCAGAAACGGGCTTTTAATTCTTAGTTTACAGATTTCCGTGGCGCCAGGACCAGCATTATTTTATCTCATTTGCGTAGAAGACCTTTTAATATCCTGCTTTAGTATCGAGGCATAAATACTTAGCAGCTTCACAGTCTCCCTCCTAGGAGGCGACTCGGTCGGGGACAGCGTGTGATTAGAGGGCGTGCTCTGGCCAGCGCCCAGGAAAGCAGTGCCCAGGCCGCACCCCCCCAACCGGGGCAGCCTGCGCCCACATCACCGTGACTCTGCACTTGCGGGCGGAAGCGGGGCGGCTGTGCGGGGAGGCGGGTGTGGCGAGAGCCTGGGGTCACCCGGCCTCGCTGGAAGGCCGACCTGCTCCCTCGGCTGCCGGCACCTGGCGCCCAGCCAGGGAGGCGCCTCCCACTGCTGGGAGAAAGGTCACGTCGCCTCTGGGGGATCCTCTGAGCCCTCTGAGCCCTTCCGCGGGAGCCGCTGGTGACTAAGCGGCTCCAGGCGCTGTCCCTGGCCCGCCCTGGCCTCTCAGACTGGCTCACAGCAGCCAACTTCCTTCTGCTCGGCGCAAATGACTTCCCTGTCACCCAGGTTCACGGTAAGCAGCAACATGTAACGAATCAGGAAACCAAAGGAGGGAGGAGCCCGGGAAGAGGGGCCGGTGCGGACAGCAAGCAGGAGCGCGGCGGGCTTCCCCGCACTCAGGCCCCCGTCTGCGCCTGCAGGCCTGCAGAGGCGCGCCATCTCATCCTCGAAGAGCCAACTGGCGGCTCTGCTAGTGCTCCTTTTTGCTCAAAGTTTTTCTATTCTGCTCTTAACACTTTTCTCTGTCTTCTCAGCTTTGAAGCTGAGGCGCCGGGGCTCCGGGCAGGGTCAGCCCCGCTACACTCCAAGCGGGGCCACACGCGGCCCGCGGACAGGGGCTAGCGGGGCGGCGTCTCCGCGGGGCCTGCGCCTCAGCTGCCGGCCTGGCCAGCGGCCCAGAGGACGTCACAGCTGCGAGACGGGCCCGGGAGGGAGAACGTTACCGATGAGGGTGACAGGAACCCCGTACTCCAGGGCCGAGATGGCGGTCCACTTCCCGGTGCCCTTCTGCCCCGCGCTGTCCCGGATCTTGGGCAGCAAGTGTGTGCCGTCGCTGTCCCGGAACTTGAGGATGTTGGCGGTGATTTCGATCAGGAAGGAGTCCAGCTCTGTCTTGTTCCACTCCTCAAACGCCTGCGTGCGAGACCGGCCGGAGTGAAGCAGGATTAGCGCGGAGAGCGCGCTGAGTGGTTCCTTCCGGGGGCAGGAACCGCTGCCGCCGCTCAGGGCTGAGGGGCTTCCGTTGAGCCCCGAGCACCCGCTCCCCCCAGCTGAGCGTCAAGCTCGCCCCGAGTCGGCTGTGTTCCAACCCAGCCTGGCCGTGCCGGGCCCCTGCCCCAGCCGAGCTGTCCTGGGCGGCGGCCCTTCGCCTGCTCCTTCAGCCCGCCCCCGCGCCCCTCGGGGGTGCCTGCCCTGTGCGGCCTGCTTCTCCACCAAGTCCTCACTAGTCGGCCCTGGGCCATGTCTAGCTGTCACCTCCTCCAGCTCCGGGGGGCCGGCTCCCCCTCCCGCGGCCAACGTGTACGGGGGTCACTCCACTACCACGGGACCCGACACCCAGGAACCCAAGCAGAGGATCTTTGCTGTGGAAACTTCATTAAATTTGGAAAAATAAGGGCAAATCAGTGAGTCAAAATAAGTGAGAATGATACACATGTTTAAATGAGGAGACTGAAACTGTAAAAAATCTGAAGGATTTGGCACTTTGAACAACAGTCTTTAAAGCACAGCCTGCCTGAAGTGACCGGAGCCAGACATTCTAGAAACCAGAATGCTGGCCAGAGCGCCCTCTCGTCAGCACGCTCTGAGACGCCGGACACTGAGTGTCTCCCAGAGTCGCTGTTACAACAGGCGTTCACCCAGCGACGCCGACGTGCTCAGGGAGCACAGTGCGGATGCCTGCAGTTTACTCTGCAGTGTGTAAAAAAACAAAACTGCCAGCGGGGTGGGCGGGGGCGTGGCTAGAGCAAGGGCAGTGCCATGCCAGGGCGACCCGGGGGCGTGCAGGCGGCGCACGGCCACGCTCCTCCCACCCCGCCGCGCGGTCACGCACTCGCAGCCGACGGCCGGGGCGACGGAGACCCGGACGCCTGGCGGAGTCTACAGCCCTGTTACTGTGGGCTCCCCCGAAATTAAGGCGAGTCCGTCCGGGCTGCCCGGTGACCCAGGGGAGAGGAATGGGGAAGAGGAGGGACGCCTGGCCTCTGCCCGTGGCGGCGGAGCGGCTCACCCGCGCCATCTCCGCGTGCTCCATGCCCAGCACGTCCTTCATCAGGTGGTAGGCCTCACAGATGAGCTGCATGTCGCCGTACTCGATCCCGTTGTGCACCATCTTCACGAAGTGGCCGGCCCCCTCGTCTCCCACCTGCAGAGCCACAGAGCCAGGAGGCCTTCAGAGCTGCGACAGCCAGGGCGGCCCCCACTCCCTCCTCAGCAGAATTAACTCAGTGAGACAGTGGCAGCATGTTAACAGCCACGGTGTTACAATGTAACACCAGTGTCAGCCTGATTAGTTTCGCTGAAAACTGATTGCAAATTCACTAGGCGCAAGTTTTCTTTCTCCCAGTTACTCCAGCAACACGCTCTGCTGCCCAGTTAAAGCCACTTGTGCTCTGAAAAATAGAGATGCGCTGTAGCTGCGTGACGCTCCTGGAGCTGAGGCGTCCAGGCCCGGGTCTGGCCCTGACCTCGCACAGATGCGCGTCGGTGTCCCTGGTGCAGGGACTCTGGCGGCCAGCAGGGCCGGCTGGTGCACCCCTCGGGTTTCCAGTTTGTGAACACACGCGGGAGGCTAACTCTGGACTTCAGCGATAACAAGGGTGGGCTGAGCCCTGCGGCCAGCCCTTCCGGCCCTCCTGGGAGGCCAAACGAGCTGAAATGGGTTCCAGCAAGGAGTGGAACGAGGAGTGACGGGGTCAGCCGCTTAATGGCATCAGGCCTGGCAGCCCTCTCTGGCAGTCACCTGGGATCAGTGCCGCCCTTGACACCAGAGGTGTCCTGTCTATGCAGACACGCAGAACAGGCCCCAACTTACCCCCCTTCTGATTTTGACACTTTGTTGGGCCATGAGTAACATGGCCCACAAGTTACCTCACCCCGTCCTTCCTGTGACAGTGATGGGATGCGCCTGCCCAGTCTACCACTCAGTAACCCCGGCCGAGGCCTGTGGAGAATCCACCCTGACTCATCAAGATGCGAGACCAAGGCCCCACGACTGGGGCGTGAGTGCACCTGAAAGAAGTCACCGCTGTCCTTCCCTGGCGCCTCCGCCGCCCACGAGCGGCAGCCCCTCCCAACTGCAGAGCTGAGGACGCGCCCGCTGACAGCCGGGCACCAGCCCTCTGCCCGGCGGAAGCACTGGGCTCAAGGGGAAGCTGTTCAAAACGGGAAGGGCCGTTGTAGTTGCTAAACTAATGCCCCAGGAGGGAGGGCTCCCCGTAACTCTCATGCCTTGGCCTCTGCTTCATCTCTAGCCTTTGTCTCTTAAAAGTCACATGGTAAAAACAGCAGATGAAGTGCTCTGCTAAAATTAATGGTGGAGTCGGAGCTAAAGAGTTGGTGGGGGTGACCCGGTGCCACCCCTTGGAGGTGAGTTAGTGAGAGCCCCGGCCTCCCCAGCCTGTTGTGTTCCCCATTGTGGGCGGAGGCTGCCCTAACTGAGAGAACTTATGTGCAACAGCAACACAAAATACAGGAAAGGGAGGCGTCTGTGAATCAGCCCCAGCCTCTTCACGGTCCCTGGGCGTGAGGCGCCACGTTCCTGCACAGCACCAGCACCTACCTCCACGCCCACGGCCGAGACAGCCACAGCAACAGCCAGTCGGCCCCCGGCCCACTTCAGACTCTGGCCGTAACTGGCATGGCCGAGAGAAATCTCGCCTGCCCTCTCGCTTCTGTCCCTTGTTAAGGAATCTGGCTTAGACGGCCCCGGGGTGCTACCTTAACACCGACTCGAGACTCTGGACAGTCAGTTAAGGTGCCAGGACGGGGCAGCGGCCATGCATTTTAGATACCAGCTGGGCTATCCACTGAGAGATCAAGAAGCTTATCACAGAGCAAAGGGCCGGGATGTGGGTGGCCCTCGCTCCCCGCACCCTGTCTCTGCCCACGCAGCCAGCTGGCTCCCAAGAGCAGCCCAGAACTTGCCCAGTCGCAGCAGGGTTCTCCAGTTCCTACTTTTGCAGCGATGCCTTGGAAGATGTTCTTGATGTGGGGCCTGCAGGAGGGAACCGTGGCGTTAGCAGCTGGAGGAAGGGGCCGAGTTCTCTAATAAAACTCCAGGGCCTCCACCCCAATTCTGCCCCTTTCTAACGACAGGAAGAAGTGCCCAGAAGTGTGAACATGCCAAGCCCCCAAGGTACACTGCAGCCCCTCCACCGACTGGCCAGCCGCCCCCCAGCCTGCTGGGCCCCAAGCAGAGGCAGGTGTGAGCACAGACAGAAAGGCCGAGCAGCTGTCATCAAAGCCATAGACATGTCTGCTGCACTCTGCCTGAGCCGTGACCCCAAACAACGTGGAAGTTGGGGTGCACACCCCCAGGGGTTAGGCCGGGTGAGTGTGAGGATGAGGACAGACCGGGACACTGCACTCACTACCATGATGAGGAAGGGTTGCTGCTCTTCGCCCATCACGGTGCCCCCAGGACAGGGAAGGGCCTGAGCCTCTTCCCCGCGCCCTCCCATACTGACCGGTCAAGCCTTCTTGACAGAGAGTTTTTGGTAAAAACACAAAATCTGACAGGGCAGCAAAGCTAATGCCCAGGTTGAGGGTGAGACCGCGGCACCTCGCGCTCTAGAACTTCATGCAAATTTAGTGACCACTTCAGGTAAAAGTGCATTTCTACTCAGGCAAATTCACGAGCCACCAGAGCAGCTGTGTGTCAAATTGTCAGGCCCACTCAAGATGAACAGTGTTAAGCTCTGGAGAAGCAGGAAGCCGCTACTTCCAGCTTTAACACTCGGAGGAGAGCCCCGGGCGCGTTCACCAGAGAGGACACTCAGAGGACCGTCTTCCCAGGGAGGCTCCGCCTGGGGTTAGACCTGGCCACTCCTCACTGTGCTACTAATGTAAATCTAGAGCAGCTGGAAATCAAAGTCATTCAGAGAAGAAGGTTACCTTTCCACGTCTCCCTCAAAAGGATCCTTTCTTTTCTATTTCTTTCTCTTCTGCTCCATCTCTCTATCTGGCTCTTTCTCTGCAGTCTCACGCGGAGTCCCTCAGTCTAAGTTGTGTATAATCAATTACTTGCATCTTTTCATGTTGACTCCGTCCCGCTCGCCACCCCCCCTCTTAAGCCTCACGCCCCTTTTTACATCACCAAGTACCCCCCCATCCCCGATCACCATCCCCACCGTGGCCAGCCTTCCTCTTAGAGAGCACAGGGAACATACCACACAAAACCTGCTGACTCCCAATTATGACACAGACAGCCATCGCAAGAGGCTGCCTTGTCCTAAGGCTTAGGGCCGTCTCTGAGCTGCTTCCTGAAAGCCTTTAACACTAAGCCTAGAGGCGCCACTGTCAGCCTCAGAGGGAATCACAGAAGGAAAAGAGCAACAGAGCAGCGTGTACATGATCCTGTCAAAGGGCGCGACAGAGACAACGGCACCCTGCAGCCTCCTGTCTCAGTATCCAGGCCCCACAGAGGAGAGCGGGCCGATCTGCTCACGGCTCCCTCATTCCCTCAAAGTTCAGGCTCCCTGTTCCGAAATGGGGGTACTCACCAAGCTTCTTTGTTCCCTCCTGGCATGAGTGATGGGCCATACCGGGCCCCATCCTCTCCACCACTAACTCCGCTCCCCACAAACAAGATCCCCTTGGCCTTGAGGGCTCGACACCGTCTCTACGTAAGAACAAATGAATTCCATTAGCAAGTGTCTCCCAGTCAGTGACAGGGGGCATGAGACCAAGGACCCAGGAAAAGACAGATCATTCAAGAAATTTAATCCCTTCACACCTGGGGAGCTAAAAAATGTCACGGTAGTGCATGATGGCGACCCCGCCCCGGAAGGGAACGAACAAAGCCAACCGTACGTCCTCATTTCACCAGAACAGTTCTCGAGCGAGAGGACCCAGCGAAGAGCAGGTTTAGCTCAAGGAGACTCGCTGCCACCAGCGCTCAGTGCGGGCGGGACCCCTCCCACACGAGGCCGGCAGAGCGCTGGCCCTCGTCCATGCCCTGCAGAAGGGCAGTCTGCTCTGGCCACATGTGCATGCTGACACTTTGTTCTAGAACATCTCAGAACCTGGGCCCCAGAATACTTACTGTCGTATCTCTGTATTCAGAATTGCCCCCATCGATGACGATGTCGCCGGTGTCCAACAATGGCACCTGCAACCAGACGCCACATGAGGGCTACAGAAATGGAGGGCAGGGCGGAACGCGCCGGTCAAACACGGATTTATCCCAAGTGAACCCCGTCTAAAAGCAGAGATGATTTCATTTCATCTCTCTTCTCTGAGAGCTAGCCCCTAATTAAAAGCTTAGAACTAGGGGCCCTCCCTGGTGGCGCAACGGGTTACAGCGCAGCATGATGAAGCAATCCACAGCCACCGCAGCAGGAGTTTGACCCCCAAGAGTGACCCGCAGGCCCAGCAGACCTCTCCTGTCCCCTCAGCAGTGGATTTCAGTGGATCTGCCTGTTCTGCTCCCCACTCTGCCTCAGGTGAATCCTCTCACACTCTGTACCTCTGGCCTGTACCCCAGTTCTTGTAAGCACAAATAAATCTTAAGAAAAAACCTTAGAATCAGAACTCACAACGATATGATTCTCCTTTAACTACTTTAAGATTTTACAACAAACAAAACCTAGTTGGGAAGATTTTACTTCCGGTTGGTGCCACCGCCTGGCTTATGCCCAACCCTGGGAAAAGGACTGGCCCTTACATGAGTCACGCCCCGTGGAATCTGCCCTAGAACAGAGGGGCCGGAATTACACATCAAACAGTTTAGTGTGCGAATGAGCAACTCAGTGGCCCCCACTTGGACAGGGCAGGAGGCGACTGGGCCTTGCACAAGCGTGTCTTCCTGTGGGCTCCCAACCGGGGCCTGTGCACTCCTCACCCCCGCTCTGCCCACGAGACTTTAGCGAACATTGCTTAATATTCCCCTACATTTAAGGACAATCTATTATTTCTCCAGACCATTCCTTCTCTGGCTGGCCATGGGCAGCTCAGCATCTTGCTACACAAAAAGCTTAGTGTGTTCTTTCTTTATCACAATGTTCTTCCTTTCTAGGTCATTTTTTTAAAGAAATGGTAGCACAGTGTCTACAAATTCCTCTCACTATAGAAATAATCCCGACACCGACACTTCAAGCCAGCCTTCCAAATGGGCAGTACCTGTTTTTCAGAGCTGATACTATAGAATTGTTTTCTGAGTATCTAAATAATGACTCATTTATATGGGATCCCTTCATCCATGTGCATTTTTTCTTTTGTTTAGTGGAAAGCACCCCAGGGCTGCAGGACACCAACCCCAGAGCTGCTGGGCCCTGGTCAGAGGGCAACGGTTGGGTGGTTACTGAGTGAGTGTCGTTCGATGGGAACAAGCCAGGGAGAAAAGAGGAGCCGGACCGGCGAGAACCACAGCAGGTGGGACTGCTGTCTCCTGGCCTGCGTGGTGGAGGAACCCCCCGTCAGGGTCGGACCGGGTCCCGGCTCAGTGTGTGTAAGAGCCAGGACCGGCCCCTCTTAGAGCATGACCTTCTCCTCCCTGCCCCGCCCCCCACCCCGTGATGCTCAGGGACCAGAAATACAACCGAGGCCTGCTTCCCAGAGGGCTGGGGGCTCAGCACTGCCCCCACCCCCCAGCACGTTCCATCCCAGAACAGACGGGCATGCTAAAGTCAACAAGATGCTGGGCAAAAGTAAGCACCCAGGTTTGAAGTTCCTAGGAACCCCTTGGGGCCTCGCTTTACAGGAATAATGAGAAAAGAAGAGTCCACTGCTAAATTTGGACACTGAGGCTCATTAACATCACTAAACATAAAAGTACACGACCAAACTGTAGGCTCCTAAGCAGCAAGAGTCCACAAAGTTCCTGCTAATGAATTCGTATTGATGAGGCTCCTGTGTGTCCTCAGAATTTTTCACACACACACACACACACACACACACACACACACACACACACACACACACACGGGAATTTTACCACCCGAGGATATGCTGTCATTTAATTAGTGCCAATCAAGTCAACCAACACTGAGACACTTAAACTGTTTAGTCAGACTGAGTAGTTTTCATAGCTAGAAACTGAAGGGGGGAAATACTCTTAAAAAGTTCTGTCACCCGAGGAGCATCTGGGAGCAGGGCCCGCCTCACCAGTTTTTCGATGAAATCGTCCACCGCTTGGCCAGCCTTCACCAGAAGGATGATCCGCCGGGGCTTCTTCAGCTTGGAGACCATCTCCTCCAAAGAGTGAGCGCCGATCACCTTGGTCCCTTTTGCCTCATTGGCCAAGAAATCATCAACTTTGGAGATGGTCCTATTAAAAGCACAGACCTAGACAGAAGGACGAAAGGCCCCATTAGGGGATCTCGGGCCACGAGGCCCTCAGACCACGGGCCAAGGACATTTCCATGCAGCCTGAGCTTGGGGGCAGCTTTCCTCTCACCGGGGGCGGCCGATCCCTGCAATGTTCACCTGGGGCAGAGGAAGTGACCGAGGCCGGAACACAAGGCCAGGCCCACTGGCCAGCACGGCTGGTGAGGACTCCAGCTGTCTGGGACCAGCCGGTATCTGAGCCGGCGGAGCGCTCTATATAAGCTTTGCACTAATCCAGCCTCATTAGGCAATTGCCTGAGCCACCCTGCAGCGATTCTCCTGCACCTTGCTGACTGTTTATTCAGGCTGAGAACGGACAGATTCTGCAGACACCCCAGAGACTGCAGAGCGGGTCTCGCCCACCCACGGCGCAGTGGTGCTGGGCCTCTGGGAAGGCCACAAGCAGCAATGAGCTGCACCAAAGGCAAGCCCGACCAGCAAGCCCGACCCGGGAGGCACAGCGACGTGGACAGCAGCGCAGCACTGGACACCAGCACTGCACTGGACACAGCCCTGCACTGGACACAGCCCTGCACTGGACACAGCACTACACTGGACACAGCCCTGCACTGGACACAGCACTGCA